AACAGGCCCATACCATCAATCCTCCTCCACCAAACTTTACAGTTGGGACGACACACTCGGGCAAAAGGCGTTCTCCTGGTAAACGCCATACCCAAACACGTCCATCGGAACGGAAAAGGGTAAATCGTGACTCGTCACTCCAAAGGACGCGTTTCCAGTCATCCAGAGTCCAAGTACGGTGGTCTTTGGCCCATCAAAGGTGCTCTTTCTTGTTGGTTTACTTAATCAAAGGCTTATGGGCCGCCGAACGTCCAGTTTAACCTAACTTATGGGCCTCGATACGAAAAGTCTTGGTCGAAACGGCCACACCTGTGGCTTGTCTAAACTCATTAGTGATGTTATCCATGGATGTTTGACGGTTACTTCGAATCTCCCTGTCGAGCACCCGCCGTTCCCTGCTGGTGAGAACTGTAGGTCGTCCACTTCGGGGTTTGTTCTGAGAGTGTCCCTCAGTCTTGTAGCAACACACAACACGTGCTACAGTTGATTTTGAGCAGTTACGGAGACTGGATATTTCCCTAATTGATACCTTGGCAAGATGCAATCCAACCAACACACCTTTCACGAACTCAGACAACTCTTCCCGTGGCGGCATCTTGACAAAAAACAACTCTAGTCGACTCCACAGAGTATTTATAGGATATGGCTGACACGTGATACCTATTATTGCGCTTGCGTCAGCAGTATTGTCGACTTTTCTACTTTTCGAGGGGTGTCCCGTCACTTTCTTCCAGATAATGTATTTCTTTTCTGAAAAATAACGCGCAGTCTCGATGAGCTATGAATATCAAACTCAGAAATGCGTATATAAAAGCGAATTTTTTAATGAGTTGTCACTAACCTTCCCACAGAAAAATGGCTAAAATATACTTACCCGCGTTTGTGTTTTCTTTTTTATACTGCTTTTAAAGAACTTTAATGGCTTACATAATTTGCATGCCCTTAAGTGACCTGCTTATATTACATATTTCGTAGATATTGAGAACTTTCGTCACAATTTTGCATTTTGGATAAGCTAACAGCACAGATTGAAAAATAAAGGATGGTAATTTATTCTAAATTAAATGGTTAAAATATTAGAAATACTTTTTAACATCACATTATTCAATATTCTCCTAAACATACTCTGAATCTTAAGATAGTGTTCTCGATGTTACAAGTATGATCCATAATAGATGTGAACATAATATCAGCAGTATACTGATATTATTCTTAAATAAAAGTAACTCATGCTTATATAATTCATTTGCTGACATAAAATAAGATTGGATGGTAATATGAAGAGATTGTTTCATTTTATGCCACAAATGCTCAATAGGATAAAAACTAAATTGGTCATGAAAGTATCTTGAACTTAGGACCGTGCTTTTCAAATTAATCATTTTTGATCACAAAGTGCATTGTCCTGTTGAAAGTGACAATATTTTTCAAGTTTTTAAAAATTTATAAGATTTAGATTTTTTGACACTCTACGCAATTTATTCAGACATCTTTACCAGTTACATGAATATTCTAAAGAAATGATATTACCAAAATCCATTCAATCGAGATTCAGATGTTTTTTCTTTTTTACTTTTTAAAGGAAATAAACCTTCATTTGGAGGAGGTAGCAGAAGTAAGCAAAAAAAAGTTTATATTTGCGAAGGACTAAAAATATTTCACCATGAATAGTGACATTGTCGCATGCTAGTAAAGTAGCTGTTTTTGGCATCTTTCAGTTTTCAAAAGTGAATAAGCAATTCTTTATTCATGTGTAAAAAATATTCCAAGTAAATTTACGGAATAATATTTCGATTTCTGTTTTCTGGAAGACTTGTATGCATCTATAATTTTAACTAGTTGTTACGCACTTCAGGGAACAAATATTTGATCTAAAGGAGTTCTTTTTTTTGGTAATAAACAGGTTTGTAGAAAAATTGCCTAGTTTTATATGTAATTCAATTCATGCATAATGCAGTCAATTTATTATCATTTTCTTCAATACTGAATTTTTTGCTAATAAATGAATGAAGGGATATCTGTTATTGTAATATATGGCTGTATTGGAAATAAACTCATTACAATAAGGATCCCACACAAAGAAGGAACAAGCAGAAAAAAGCAAACTTACAGCAAGACAGCAATTGCAATAAGTCGGTCTAACACACCACAAAAAGTCAAAGAGGGAGAGAGTAAATAAAGGGGGCAGCTACTTTTAGTCCATGAGGCCCCTGGCCTCCCATTACAATTGCAAGACTTCTCCTTGGCGCTGAGCCTCCCTGTTCAGTCTTGGGCATTTCAAAAGATTTTCTGAATCTATTGTTCCAGCTCGACATATTGGACACCTATCCTGTTTAGATGTTCCGCAAGACAATCGTGCCCGGTTCTTAATCGAAAGTTGGCAATCGCCTCTTTACGTGGTCTAGTGTTAAAAAATTTTCAGCTGTCTTGAATAGTGCGCCAATTTTTGCCTTCAGATTTAGTTATGAGATTATCTTTCAGTTTCTTAAAATTTCTCTATGAATACATTTCTTGAAAGATTCTGATGGAACTTGTTTCTTTCCAATATTCACATGATTTTCTTTCTTTGCAAGTGAATCTGTTGCTTCGTTACCTTTAATTCCCACGTGTGATGGCATCCACTGGAATACAATTTTTTGGCTTTAGTTCTTAAATATTTGATACCTTTCTTAATTTGAGTTATTACTGGGGTTTCAGTGTGATGATTTAACGAGACAACTTGTATGGCTGCTCTGGAATCTACGAATATTACCATTTTAGAGCAGCAATCATTATTTACTCTGAGTTTTAAATTATTTATTGCTATGATGCAATATCTAAAACACAATTTTTCTTATTTTCGATATGAAGTAAAAATAAAAATTTTAAAGCAAAGAAAATGAGAAAGGAGTAAGGAAAGAAGTAAAGAACCTCTATAGATTAATACATAACATCTTGACAACTACATTTATGATAAATAAAAAAAAAAAAAAGATACTGGAAAAAAGGAGCACACATCGAGCAAATACAAATACAGACTGTACGATACTTTTACACAGTTACAATACAAAAAACCCATTATACATGATAATAAATTAATTTAGATTTTATAGTTGAATCTTCCGACAAAATATTTCGATGATATATTTAGAAAGTAATACAAAAACTTCCAATCTATTGAAAGGTTTCATCCAGATGAAGCCCAAAATCAGACGAGTTTTGATTTGTACTTTAAAATGAAAGTCACAATTTTTTCCAGATGTCAAATGTGAACCTTTTTCGTCTTTTTTTCATGTTTCATTTAGCTGACATTAGTACGGAAGGACAAAGATGAAAAATTATTTGAATTGTCATGTGTATTTTGGTTTCAATTGGTAAGTTAATTTTAAACATTTTAGTCAACAACAGGTAAAATGGGTGAGGGTTTTGTTCTACGAATATTATAAATAAAAACATAAAAATAATTATATTATTATTCTCACTAAAATTAAAGTTTATTTTATTACAAGAATAATATCAGATTATTATAGATTAGAAGGAAACAAATAATATTATATATACTAATGACTTCTATTTAAAAATTTCCTATACAATTCAAAAGTTTTAGTTTTTTCTTAATTTTCTTCCTTAGAAATTTAAAAAAAAACTTCAAAATTAATCGTCAGTTTCACTGTTTACACCATGCTTTAAGAGTTTTTTCTTCACGTCATTACGTAATACAATATGGAATAATTGTGAAGTTCTCACTTAAAAACATATAGAAATTTATTTTAGATCAAGATTTTTTAACTGGAAATTCTATCCGACCATAAGTTAAAAAGATTTTTTACAGCATAATTATCAGATTTTTTTTCTGTCAATATTCTAAAGCTTTTAATTATAGCTATACAATATATTTGACAATGTATCTATAAAAAGTTTTACAATATTTGAGCTCCCATTGCAAAGGCCTCAAATTGCTGTTCCAATATTTTTTTAAAAAAATTATGAAGTCATTATATAGGTATACAATACACAACACTAATTGTCGTGTGTTGAAATATCTTTAATATAAAAGTGAGAAAATTTAACTGAAAAGCAATTCTTGATTACTTCAGAAGTCAAGTGTATGAAAAGATTATATTTCTGAGCTTCAGACAAAAAGTTTTTTGCTCTTCTATTACATACAGATTTAAAAATGACTTTTGATCCTTCTAATTTTTTGTTAAATTATTTGTGGAGTCGCGAGTTTGTAATGCTATGAGAATTCTCGTAACTAATCGGCTTATACTATATTATTTTCGTATTATATATGCGTATATTGGGGCCTGAAGGGCCGAGTGGCTAGCGCTCTGGCGCTCGGTACCAAAGGTTTCGGGTTCGAGTCCCGGCGGTGTATGTTTATAATGGTTTGGAATCCACTTTAAGCCGTAGGTGCCGGTTTCATATGAATGTTGAGTGTTGTGCGTAGAACTGACAACCCTACCCCGTTAAAAGAAAAACATGTCTCGTCTCGAAATCTACCAGTAGGTAGACGGGCCTTGGCCCACATTTGGCTGTTGCGTCAATGATGATGAGGATATGCGTATATTATATGAAATAAATTCACCTTTACTGGTTGAAAATGTATTAAGATAATTGAAGATAAGACATAACGGTAAATAGTTAAAACAAAACTAAAAGCACATTGAAAATTTTTGACTCCAAAATTCAATATAAATATGGAATTCCTGCAAATATGAAAGCTTGCTTTTCTGTTGCTTGTTGTAATATTTTATATCATGAAAGTGTATATTTATATGCCCTTTACTTGCTTACAGTTTACTTGCTTAAGATATTGTGGTTCAACATGCAGCTTTGTAAATTTGAAGCATTAGTGAACTTTCATGATTTCATTCTAACTATGAACCATTAAGAGGTTCCCTATTGGTTGTTTTCGTAACCGATAATTTTTCAATGAAAATTACCTACTAATAGAGATCCTTAATTTATAAAAACAGGAATAAAGATAAAAATTTATAGGAATAAAGATCTGTATAGCCAACGGCCGTACCATGCTGAATATACCGGTTCTCGTTAGATCACCGAAGTCAAGCATCATTGGGCGCGGTCGGTCAGTACTTGGGAGGGTGACCACCTGGGAACACTGCGTGCCGTTGGTTCAAATTTGGGACCTGAATGGCCGAGTGTCTAGCGCTCTGGCGCTCGGTGATAATTTCAAGGTTTAGAGGTCCTTAATCTCGGCGGTGCCATAAAGGATTTTGAATAGTGGTTCGGAATGATAGCCTTTAAACCGTAGGTGCCCGGTCTGCCTATGACTGTAAGAAGCGTCAGAGCAAAAGTCAGGCTTCTACCTACGGGTGCTCCATCACAACAGAAGCTGCTTCCTTCCCCTTCAATCATGAGTCCATATGGGCTCGTGGGCTTGGCCAGCCAAGTGGGATAAGAAACAACAAACAACAACAAGATCTGTTGTGTTCTCAATGATAGCCTTTTTTTTTTTTCTTCTTGGTGCCAGTGACTGCCCTATGTTTGTTAGAAGGAGGTCAATTTAGCTTGGAGGTAATCTGTCTCTCTCTCTCGGTGCTGGCCAGCCTTGCTTCTTCCTCACTTATTCTACGGGGATCTGTTCCCTTCTCCTGGGGTCAGAGTTCAAAGAGCAATGCTCCCGAGATGGTGGAAGGTCTGTGTCATCGACACGTAACCCGTAATGTGTCGCCGTCTGCTGATTAGCAGACAAATCCTACAAAATCGGCCATCCTGCAGGTCAGTGACTTAAAACAAAATCAAAATAATTCGAGAATATGCATCAAGCTAAAACTTCAAGGTACTGAATTTTTAGCATGTGCCGATTCGAATCTATGAAAAAAAAAAAAAAAAAAAATTTCTTACTACGTTTAATAGCGATTTCCGAACGCCTGACAAATTTATCAGTCTACAAAGAGCGGCCTGACAAATTTATCAGTCTACAAAGAGCGGCCTTACAAATTTGTCGATTTTCGTGGGTGCTTAACGAGGAAATTATTCCTCCCAAAGAATTCTAACCAAGTGTAAGGTTTGGTTTGGTTTGTCGCTCTACGGTCATCTTGTGCACACTTTAGGTTAAACAGACCGGGACCTACAGTTTAAAGTGGATTCCGAACCACTACAAACATCTATGGCACCGCCGGGACTCGAACCCGAAACCTGTGTTACCGAGCGCCAGAGCGCTAGCCATTCAGGCCCCAACCAAGTGTAAGGAGTACAGAAATGTATAACATTTCAAGAAATATTATTATTATTATTATTAATCAATCCTGGCATCTAAATTTTGTATTTCGAACCTTTGCCAGCCTTTTAATTTTTTTTGCCTCACTCTGCGTCGGCGGATATGCCATCTTGAGTTTTGGATCATTTTTCTAAAGCATTCGACATGATTATTTCTGCCATGATTTGCAGAAGAAATCAATTGTAACAAAAAATTAATATAATCTACCGCAACCTTAAGTAAATGAAATTTCAAAGGCTATCAAAAGGTACACTAGTAAGTTTTTTTTACTTATAATAAGAATTGAATTCTATTATATGAATAAATAATAATTGAATGATTTTTTTTAGTGTAATTGAAACCACTCATGAAAAACTTTTCATATTTAAATATATACACACGGATAATACAGATTTAAATTAAAATGAATTAGATACATTTTTTGGTAATGAACTTTAGATTGAAATTTCCATTTTGTGTATATCCTCAAATATATCTATAAAAAGTTTCACTTTTTATTAACAGAAGTTAGTACTGAACAGATTGTAGAATAATAAAATACTATACGACGCTGAGAGCTTATTAATTTTACACATTTATATGTTTAGCTTAAGTGATTATGAATTAATTTAATTTTTAATATATAATATTTTAATAAATTCTAGATTTAAAATACAGCTCATTTAAAAATAATAATTAGAAATAAGAATAATTAGAATAATTGTAATAATAATTAGAAAATGTGAAAATTATAAATTTTAAATATATTTTTACTATTTTAATTTTTTTACATCTACGATTTCATAGAATTTAATAAATCAAGATGCATTATTTGTATTATCCAATTATGCTAAACAAACATTTATAGCATTCATTTATGTGAGGTGAAGATAAAATTGCCAACTGCCATACCATGCTGAATATACCGGTTCTCGTTTGATCTCAGATTGGTTTGGTTTGTCGCTCTACGGTCATCTTATGCACTCTTTTGGGCTAAACAGACGGGGACCTACAGTTTAATGTGGATTCCGAACCACTCACAAACATCCATGCCACCGCCAGGATTCGAACCTGAAGCCTGGGATACCAAAGACCAGAGCGCTAGCCACTTGGCCACCAGGCCGCTGTTTGATCTCAGAAGGCAAGCATCATAAGGCGCTGTCAGTACTTGGCGACCACCTGGGAACACTGCCTGGAACTCAAAATTTTGGGGCCTGAATGGCCGAGTGACTAGCATTCTGGCGCTCGGTACCACAGGTTTCAGATTCGGGTCCCGGCGGTGTCATGAATGTTTGTAGTGGTTCGGAATCCACTTTAAGCCATATGTCCCGGTCACATATGACTGTTGAACGTTGGATGTAGAGCTGACAACTCTCTAACATCTCTCGTAGAGAAAAACATCTAAGAAAAACATCTCTCGTCTCGAAATCTACCAGTAGGTAAGACGGCCTTGGCCCACACTGGGCTGTTGCACCAAGGATGATGATGAAAGATAAAATTATTTAGGCAATATAGAAACCTAATTTGAATTTTTAAAAAGAAAACATCTATTTTAGTTTATAATTAAAATGAAGTTATTGCATAAGTTATATATTTTTGTACATTTTAACTTTTTTTAATAAGTAAAATGCAGTAGGAATGAAATAACTAGCATGTTTACAAAAATAAATCTGTTTTAATTTTTTTTAAAATAGCAATTAAAATGGATGCTAAAGAAAACATTTATTTTGCTTATAAGGCGTTTAATAAACAAGAAATTCAAGAAAATATTAATTTGAATTTATTATTGTTTATTCTAACATCATCCAAATACAAAACTCTAATGTTTATGCACAATATTTAGCCTCTAAGGTTTAAAATATATTTAAAATACACAAGCATTATTGAACACAAGTAATAATGAAACAGTTAAACCAAGATGCCTTATCTGTTTCATAAAGCATCCATTGGAAGCAAAAATTTATAATATATAATATACATTATGTAAGACAATGATAAAATTATTTAGTAATTAGGCATGATTCCTTTGAATTTTTTTAAAAAAGCTATTTTAGTTTATAATTAAAATGAAGTCATAACATAAATTATATATTTTTGTATATTTTAACTTTTTAAAAAAGTGGAATGTAGAAGGAATTAAATAACTAGCATGCTTATAAAAATAAATCTGTTTCAATTAAAAAAAAAAAAAAAAATAGCAATAAAAATGCATATTAAAAGAAAAAAAAATTATTTTGCTTATAAGACATTTGAAAAACAAGAAATTCAACAAAAAAAAGAACAACAAAGTATTAATTAGAAATTCTTATTTCATTCTAACATAATTCAAATATATGAATCTACTGTTTTATGCACAATATTCAGCCTCTAAGGTTTAAAATATATTTATATTTAAAACATCACAAGCATTAATGAACACAAATAATAATGAAACAGTTAAATAAAGATGCTTTATCTGTTCAGTTAAGTACCCATTTGAAGTAAACATTTATAATATTCATTATATAAGACAATGATAAAATTATTTAGCAAATATACACGACTATTTTGCAATTTTTAAAAAAAAAACTCAGTTATCTTAACTTATAATTAAATTGTATTTATTGTAAAAATTATAGTTGCATAAATTTTATATTTTTGTAAATTTTAACTTTTAAAAAAAAAAAAAAGTGGAATGTAGAAAAATAACTAAGATGTTTACAAAAATAAATTTTAAAAAGACAGCAACTAGAAGGAATAATAAACTAAAAGCAAAAATCCCACTTTATTGCTCACAAGAATATTTTAAAATCATGAAATTGAAAAAAAAAAAAAAAAAATCATAAATTTCAAATTGTGCCTTTAATATAATCTGAATACATAATACATTTAAAGCATCATATTCAGGCCCTAAAATATTCTTCAGGCTTTCAGGCTTAAAATATTTTGTATATTTAAAACTTCATGAGTAAAATGTTTTTAACACAGTTACATTTTATTGTTTCTTGTAACTTGTATAGTATAATCAATATACTATTTTTATGCTTCTAATAATTGAAGAGAAAACAGATGGTTCATTATATGAAGATTCATTCACATGTTTCATTGGATGATGTTATTGAAGAGTTTTACACAGGTCAACGTTTTGCTGGACGGAATACATAACTAAATGTGATGAAATCTATGTAGAAAACAATAAATACTTTTTATTGAGAAACATATTTGATTATTCACATTAAATAATAATAAAATGAATTCAAAAATGACGTGCTTGATTCTACACTCATGTCCATAAATTAAGGATAATGAAGTTCAGGCAAAGAAAGAGACAGAAGCAAAACAAATTTGACTTATTTGTAAAGTCTATTTATTAAACAAAAGGTAAAGAGCAAAAAAGATGCTATATGTTTGACATAATTAATAAAAATTGCGATTTTTACTCAGTGGAGCAAATTTCAAAAAAGAACCTATTTACAAAAAACAGTATAACATGGTTAGTATGATGATTAATGTGTCTCCCGGACGATGCAATACAGGCCTTACAACGCCTAGGCATTTTGAGTATCAAATTATCAATCTGATCTTGGGGAATATTACACCACTCATCAAGCAATGACCTCCGAAGTTCCGGTTGACAGGTGGGAGGGGGTTGACAGGCTGCAATTCGTCGGCCAAGCATATCCCACACATGCTCTATTGGATTGAAGTCCGGTGAGTATGCTGGCCAATCCATACGGGTGATATCCTCCAATTGAAGGCATTCATCTACAATGTTTGTACGGTGAGGACGGGCGTTGTCATCCATAAACAGAAATTCAGCACCCATGGCGCCCCGAAACAAACGTACATGTTGTTCCAGAATGACATCCCGATAGATGTGGCCTGTCATCGTTACACTCTGAACATGCAGGTCAGTTCTGGAACCAAGAATA